GAACAGGATAGAATTGCGCGCATCTTGCAAGGAGACTGGGTTGCGTACAGGGCCAGAAAGAGACAGAAGTCCAAACGCTCAGGATGGTGGGGCAAGATGTTGGAGAATTGCACTGATCAGGAGCTCACATCAGACACTCGCAAACACTTGGCTGGGAAACTATGTGGACCTGATGCCGTGGAGTGGGATGATGAGCTCTCTGCATACCAGCATCAAGTACCCCTGGGGACCAGCTGGACGCCCTTCACCCTCGATGAAGTTTGTGCCCAACTTGCTACTATGAAAGGGCGATCTTCGGTTGGACCTGATGGGGTTGGCGTGTCCTTACTCCGTGCGTTGGCCACCCACCGGACCCTTTCTGAGGACTTCTTAGGGATCGTCAATCATGTCATCCACACCAACGCCTCGCCTGACTCCTGGCGTACTTCCCTTCTTGCACTTCTCGCCAAAACAGAACAACCCAAATGCCCTGCTGACCTGCGACCGATCGCTATGTCGTCTGCATTGCAGAAGTTAGTGGTGCGTCTTGTCATGACCAGGACGTTCCCACTCCTTAGATCAGCGACTGACATCGCCTGCTGTGGTAAAGGAAGACAGGCCGCTGACCTTGTTGGATGTTTCACACGACTACGGGATGTCTCCAAAGAATGGAAGCTGCCGCTCCTTGTCGTCAAGTTAGACATCCGGGGTGCATTCGATGCCCTAGCAAGAAGAAGTGTGGCTCGCTACCTCATGCGCAAGCTCGCACACTGCGATGTTGGGAGGGAGACGCGCTTCTTGCTAGAGCAACTACGATCCAACCTTCTGGTGGGGAGAGTACCTGGTGGACATGACATCGAGGTGACGTGCACCAGTGGCATTCGTCAGGGGGCCCCGGAGTCGGCTGAGTTGTTTGCACTAGTACTTCAGGAGACACTTGAAACGATGATGGAGCAAACTCCGTGGACTCAGCTTGGCAAACCCATCAATGACCTCGAGGTTGAACTTCTCATGTATCAGGACGATCTCTTCCTCTGGGAGGTTGATGTCCACAAGCTTGAGTCCAAGCTTGCGCTCCTCAATGACTGTTTGCAACAACTTGGTCTTCAACTTGCCACTCGAAAGACTGCTATCACATGCACCGCCGATTATGTTGGACCTCGTGTTGTTCATCTTGCGGGAGATGCCATCAACGTCCAACCTTGCCATGAACCGATGCGGGTACTTGGCCTCAACTTCACCTTTGATGGCAACCAGACCATGCAGGCCAAAGAACTCATTGCCAGAGCCAGGGCCGCCTTCGGTGAACACAAGGAAATCCTCAGAGGACATGGCTCTTGGCAAAATAAGCTGTTCGCCTTGAAGATGCTGGTTGAGGGTGCAATTTCCTGGGTCGCTGGGGCCGTATACTGGAGCTCAGAAGATCTTGCATCCTTGAACGTT